ACACGACGAGTCTGAGGCGACTTGGGAGACCGAGGCCGGTACTAGGAGGAGTTATCCGAACTTCGTCTTTTGATCCCCTTTGTATTCGATGTATTTCTAGTGGTTTGGCTTTGTTTTATTTTCGAATTCTGTGGTCGGAATTCCTTTTAAGGTGGGTAGATTTTAGCGCCCCATTTTATATCCAAACATCCTCTAATTATTCTGGTCCGTTTATTTTAGAAATGGATTTTATTAGTAGGGATTAATTATTTTTATTGTTATTATTATTATTTAAAAAATATATATATATATATATATGTGTGTGTGTGCAATTTATTTATTTCTTTCCTGGTTGTTATTTTATTTTATCCCGCGATTAGAACCGAGCCCGAGAACCAAACCCGCACAACCGCTCAAAAACCCGGTTCATTAAATATGTGAGTGTGTGTGCGTGTGTTTTCTCTTAAAAATCTTGAAAAGTCAACAAAATTTTTATATTATGCATATATACAAATGGTCTTGTATCTATCTTCTTCCTCACATGGCAAAAACAAGATGTATCCATTTCTCTTTCACGTGAAGCAACATCTTTGTTCAATCTAAATCTAGATTCCCTCCATCAATCTCATATTTTTCTTCTTAAATCCCATCCCTCATCACCTTCATATCTCTAGTTGCCATCATCACCTCATCTCACCATCCCGCCATCACCGTCATCCTCCCCGCGAAGCTTCTTCCGGCGACCAACTGCTGCACCTTCGTCCCCGGCGAGACGCGAGAAGCCGTCGAGCCAACGTGCCGTTCGTCTCTTTTCGTTTCATTTTCCGAGTTCCGTTCGGCCGAGCCGTCGTTCGGCCCATTTTTGTTTCTCCGTTAGTTCGTCAATTTTCAAAAGCGGGTAACCTATTCGAACCCTCTCGTGATTCTGGTCGTGTTCGTATATTACATGATAGATAAATTTATCATATGTGTTGCCGAATTAATATTCTTGCTTGAAGTTGGAATTTATTTCAAATTGTTTTTCGGCTCGTATATGTCGTTTCGTTCGTCGGATTATGTTCGTAACTTCGTTCAATCGAGCATTATTAGTTGCTGTGGTAAATTACTCATTTTGCTCGCTTGTTGCTGATTTATAAGTTATAATGATCTGTATCGAGCTTAGAACATGCATTATATAAGTCATTGTTATTTTATGTGAAAACATTTTTTTTCGTTGATCTGTTGTGTCACATTTTAAGCCATTTGAGACTGGTTATTTGAAAATATGGTCTTCATATGAAATGTAGTATGTTCCGTTTGCTAAGCCTGGGCTTTGAAATTTCTCGATTCCGAGTTATATCGAATAAGTTGTGGTTTTTATAAAAATGTTGCGCGTTCAGTTTTTACTGCTACCCGGCAGCATATCTGTATTTAATGTGTGACCTGTTTATCATGTCGTAATGTGCTCGTATGAATTTATACTCTTCATAAAAATTGTAGATCTGTTTCTTATCTTTCAAATGAGATAAACTTCATCTTGATATGTGCTCTGTAGCTCGAATTGTGTTCACATGAAGTTAGATATGCATGAGTTAGGATTTGTCACTTTGACAGAAATCTAATAATAAATGCTAACCGATTTTTCTATATCCAAATGATCTCATGTGATTTTGTGTTCTAAATGAAAGTTGTAGAGGAATGCTTAAGGTTTAATTTGATACTTGAACCATATAATTTGAAGATCTGTAGCTCGAGTTAAATGATAAAGACTGAAGTGTTGTCCATATTATTTGTTTATTTTTGACAGTTTTACCGAATCACATGTTTTGTTTTTAAACTCGTTGATAATGTGATTATTTGCCAATATGATCTTCAGTAAAGTTGTAGAAATTTGAGTTATCTATCATGTGGTTTTTGAATTTAATTAAAAGCATGCTTGTAGCTCCAGTTAGAGAGTAATTACTGAAGGCTGGTCAAGTACATTACTCCAGTTTTGGGACTGTGACTCATTTTTGAATGTTTGTTGATTCATCACCTGCTAAATGACCTTATTTGCTTTGGATGTCTTCATAAGATGTTTAGATTCGTGTCTTAGGATTCCAATGCAATTTGATTTGTGTTCATACGAGTTGTGTGCTGAAAGTTATATTGATTTTTTAAAAAAAAAAAACGCTGCCTGGGTGAAATTTTCCAAACTTATGTGATAATTTCTGAAATGTGTCTTCCTTGGTTTAATGCATGCTTGAACGCTTACGTGGACTTAGTTGAACTAAGTAACTTGTCGAATAGTCCTTGATAAGGCTACTTTAATAAATGTAGGTGTTTGACAAGTCGACCTCGACGACTACCATTTATTTTGTGTTTGACTCGATCGCTACCAGGTGGGTTCATTTATGTTGAATCTACATTTATCGCACTTGTTATTTCGTATAAATGTTTGTCGCGATAGCTTTTGTATGCGTGAGAACCCTAGTCTATGTGTCCTGACGGTAGTGCCTTTGACGAATGCATAATCAGTGGAAGTCACCTGCCCGTTGTATCCGGGAGGTGGGCGCCCGAATCCGTGTAGAGCGGAGCGGTATTTCAACTTCACTGTCTCCTGGATAATATCCTACGCCCGTTGCATTCGGGGTGGGAGTGCTTCCAGTTACATCCTTGTCGATGTCTGGTCGGAAGGTTTGTTGTATGTACATAGGAGGTTTGCGATAGGGCCTAATAGGGAGTTAGATCTGGATTCTATGCATACATTATTTATGGTTATGGATCTTTATGCGAAATATACTGTGCGGTAATGGTGAGTATGATGGTTGTACTCACCCCATTTACTTTTCTGTCCTTTTGTTCCTCTTCCTATCTTTTTAGGTTGAGGATTGGTTGGCGGCGGTAGCGAGAGACGATCGAGTGGTGGTCGTTGGATTATGTGTTACTTGCTTTCGTTTTTCTTTTTATTTTCTCGATAGACCATTTGTTAACGTTGAATAATTATGCTTCCGTTTTTAATTATTTTGAACATGTTGGTTACACTCGGATTTGAGGTTTATGAATATTTGGAATTTTATTTTGAACTGTTAGATTTTATCTGTATAAATGTTTATTCGCTTTAGTAGTTTAAGTAGCGCCCGTTGAATTTTAAATTTTTTTTTTTTAAATTGGGATTTTGCGAAAAATAAACTCTGATTTTTATAAATAAATTCGATAAATTCTTTAAAATAAAACGGGGCGTTGCACATACTCATTGACCTGATCCTTCTAGAAGGAGACTAACCGGGTCAAACGGAGTCTAATCATTTCAACTCTCACGAACTCATTTAATTAACCATTTTTTCCACGAGCTTCTTTTTCCAAACGAGATTTCCGGATGATTATTATCTGGGTGTAGCCTCGAGGGGTTTCATCAAGTCTCCTAGATCGGTTATTATCTCATTCCACGAAGTGGATCGGAATAAGAGGAGTCTAATCTATACTTACCTCGCGAATTCACATTTTTTTTTTTCCAGACAGGGTAAACAAATCAACTCAACAACGTGAATACAGTAAATATACAATCAAATCAATACATCACGATGTGTAATACGAGAATAGACTACGAACATGAGCTTTTACACATGAATCCTCAAAGAAGGCAAATTCAAAGTATTGACCAAACGGGAATTACAAAGGATAAAACAAGGTCGTGACTCTAAATTATGTGTCAGACATTAACAAATCTTCAATCGACTTAGATCACCGGGGTTCAACTCATTGAAAGGCATAAAGTAAGACAATTCAAAATGAAATAAACACTTTAATATGTGATATTATACCTAGAAGAGTGAACCAACCTAGTGAATCGATCGAGCAAACCGAAAGAGCTGCTCTAGTTGAGTAGGGCTCGGACTGGGTGGTCATGGTCGAGTAGCACAGGAGTAAAAACCTTGGGATCGGAAGGTAGCTTATAGGAGGTTCCGACACATGGAGAACATGTAGGTCCCAGATCCATGGAGGATCTGGTCGAAGATTGAAAACATGACAATGTTGCATAGATACAATGATCCAATTCAATGTACAACTTTCCTAGCTACTTTGCGAGGACCTGCGCAAGATTGGTTTCATCAGCTGTTGCCAAGAGCTATACAGAACTTCGAGGAATTCAACTCAAGTTTCATTAATCAATTCGCAAGTGTTAAGGAACATTAGAAGACTTACCTTACTTTGATTAGGGTGCAACAGAAAAAGAATAAATTATTGCGGGATTATGTAGCTCGATATACGCGGGCCTCACACTTTGGATAATTTTCACTATCCATTTTTAAAATTTTTCTCCTTTCAAAATTTAACTACCACATAATAAGTTCATCAACGAGTTCTTAATAAAACCTAGGTATGATACCATTTTATACGAAGTGGTACTCTTGGACCAATTTTAGGTACTAGCTAAAAAGAAAACATGTACTGCATATACATTTTTTTAACTTAAATCACTCTTTGAGATATAGGTATTACAGCAAAAAAGATACTTTTTCTATAGTCTATAGCTATCGGAAAAAAATCAGAATTTTAACCTTAGAGAAAACTATTTACTTTGACCTTATTATTTGACTTGGGAGTAAAANAAAAAAAAAAAAAAAAAAAAATTGTCTAGAGAATTGATTGATTAGAAGGATTAGTTTTATCACCACTTTAGAGCATCTCCAATGCTCAAATGTTGTTGTGCTAAACTACATTCCACGTCAACATATTTTTCAATGTCACAAATTTTCATCCTCCAATGCATAATGGGATCACAAATGTGATGATGTGGATATAATTAATATTTACAATGTAGGAAAGAATGTGATTCATCCTGATTCTCTTCTAGCTGGCCAATGAAGAGAAGAGGAAAATTATTCTTACTAATTTTAAACTATTTAAATAATTTGTTTACTACATATAATAAAATTTTAATATTTGATTAGTAGATAATATTATAGTTAGACTACGTTGTGTATTGGAGAATTTCAGAGTTGTTAACTTAGTATTTGTTCTACATGATTCACAATTCATTTAATTTATTGATATTTGTAACAATAGAGTATTGAAGATGTTAAACAATACACAAAAATTGTGCGTAGTATTGTTCATCTATTCAAAAACCGGCCATCTATACGGCTACATCCAACGTTATAAATCTCCTCCCGTAAATAGTCTGCTTAAAGGAGAGGCTTGGTAGAAAGCGAAAATGGAGAACATGGCGGTGTCCAGACGCCATCGCAAAAGCAAACTCAAGTTACCATCAAAATCTGAGTCGGATCTCGAGGCAACATCAACAAGACATGAACGAAGGTATGCAATTATTTTAATTCATGTTTAACAAGCTAGGGTTTAGTTGCTGTTTAATTTGATTCAACTTTCTGCAAGAAATTAGGAAAAAGAAAGTCCGGTTGGAGAAACGACCGTCTTCCGAGGGAGTGCGAGCGAAGCATGAACGGAAAGCTTCAGGGTCAGTATTGATTATTTACAATTATGAAATTTGGAGGTTATTTAGTCGAGATTCGAGGAGTCCTCCAACTAGTGTCTTGGTGTTGTTTTACGCTTTTTACTGTGAATATATGGTGCTGAGGACCTTGTTTAATGATTTTTTGTCCTCTCGTGTGAGATGCATTCAACCCTTGTGTTCCCTAGCACTTAATTTTTCTAGGGAATTTTTGTCTTGATTAAGTTGATCGGAGCTAATCACCAATATTTTTTATTTTCTGGTCCCTTAACGAATTTCCCATCTTCCTGAGATATGAAAATGCTGGATATGCATTTTCTTGTAGGCTTGCATGTGTATCCAGGTACCTTATGCTGAATGTGGATCTTTTTGTTGCTTAACTAACCTTTATTATATAGCATGTATGAACTTGTTGATTTTAGTCAATGGAAACCAAAATCTGTGATAAGAAAGGGTACTAAAAACAAGGAACACTGAATCCCAAGTTATTGCACACAGAGAGTTATAAAACGAAGGTAGCTCATAGGAGGGTTTACTTACATGGGGTCTATATTATGGTATACTTGTTTTGTTTCCCTCATAACCAAAAGAGATAGTTTTTGTTTTATTCTGTATTCGAGCTTTTAATGTATACATGCCTACATTTGGTGCATTGATGCAGCAATCTGAATGTAAGATGAAGTGGAATTAAGTGAACATAGTATCACACACCTCTTCAATGTTATAGATCACAGCATGTCAATTAATTATATGTGAGTACAGTCTAATATGTGAGTGCTGACATGCTTATGTGGGGATTTTTGTGACTACAAAGGATAAGCAAACATTTTGGCATGTTGTTTGATTCTAATGCAATGATTATAAATTATGTAATGTGATAAGAAAACTGATTCTAGTTTAGTGAGAACTACTAAAATTAAAATGTTAGGGTGAGCTGGATATTTGGGAAAGCGGATTTTTTTTCTAGAGTGNTCAGAACACAAATGTATTATAGTCTATATGATGGGTGGATTCTCTCTTTCTCTCTCTCTCTCACACACACACACACGCACACACACACACATACACATGCACGCGTGTGCTCTCATGCACACTCACCCACCCAAAAAAAAAAAGAAAAAGGAAAGCACATCCATACATGCACAAATGTATATATTCAAAATACTTTTCATTGATACCTGTGTTATTTTCATCGGTGATTTAATGTTTTCGTTTTTAAAAAGGGGAAGGAAAATGAAAATGAAACTAAGACGGTCTGAGGGGAACAAAGAGATGGTTTATTGCAAAATCTCAAGGTAATTTGTTTTATTGTGCTTCATATTCTTTTGGAGTTTTACTTCTCTATCACAAGGCTACAAGAGCAAAAAACGAAGGCTCAGTATCACAATTTTTGTGCTTATGGCTAGGATTTACTCTTTTTGATGGTGTTGTTTTCTAATTGATGATGTTATTTCCCAATTGTAACAGGAGAAGGAAAATCAGACCAGAGCAGCAATGCTCTCATGAAGGAATTGGAATCGTACTGGAAGATGCATTAGAGATCTCAAGGTAAATGTTCATTATTTTTCATTGTGGTTCATATTCTATGAGAGGAAATGCTTTTGTTCCTTTAAAAATTTTCATCTTATATTGGATAATATGTAAGTATAGCTGTGTTTTCCATTATTATATTCTGTTTCTGTGTTATTATTTGATGATTTTGTATTCGTCGAAAAGGCCGGCCTTCTTGCAGTTGTTATGAAGCAATGAAATTCCAAAAATGCATTGTTCTGGTCTCTCTGAATAAGTCACATTTTCTTTAGGTTCCTGATTATTTCTTTTATTTTTTTATTTACGATATATTTGGCATCTAGAAAGTGTTACTTAAGTGGCATGATTGAGAACAATATACATAAGCTCTCTCTCTCTCTCTCTCTCTTTGTGAGTCAATATTTTTTATTTGACGCACATTATTATTTGCGTGTAGCATGTATGCTTTTAATTTGCTATCTGGAGCAGGAAAAGGCAAATCGAACACCTAGAATATCTCATGAAGGAAGGAAAGCCAAACCCTATGTCTTCCGAAGTAACATTGTATGTCATTGTCATTTACATTATAGTTCTCTCACCCTCTGCTGATTGGCTTGGCTATCGCAGATTTGCTTTTGCCATTTTTTTTTTTTTTTTTAAATNATTTTTTTTTTTTTTTAAATTTTGTTTTTACCATGATTATAACATTATCATTCTTCTCTGTTCACTAGCCATCCTTGGTCTTGTATGGCAGATGTTGCTTTAATGCATTATCACAAGGAACAGGTTGTCTCATTTTTTTATTCAATAATATTTAAGTTATCTGTATCTACTCATCTGCTCTAGTTATTTATTTACTTTCTCCTCTGGGCTAGGGCATTGAATTTCACCTTCTGCAAATGGTGAAAAAAAATGGTAAAATCATCCCACCGTTTTCAAGCTTAGAGCCAGGAATATATTTTCATATCTTCTTTAAGGCTGTGCCCAGAAATGTTGATTGTGTCGAATTGTCCCCGCAATTGTTTTTCGCTGAGATTTTTGACTGTGGTGTGAAATTTCATCCCACTCATTGTTTCGTCATTAAACCTGATGATGATCCTGGTAATGCTCCTAACATCCTTATATGCTTTTTAATTCATAATATATGACGCATTCATCGTGTTACTAATATATGGCACATACATATTGTCTTACCTATCGGGTGTTCTTGGTTAATGTGCTGTAATTTGTCCATGAACTCACAACATGAGTATTTGTGTGTAACTTTGTACCTTGTTTGAAGAGCCGATGACTTTCTGTAGATATGGGCAAATGCCGCTAACGAACTGCCTATTGTAGGGATATGCTTTATATAATGAATGTTTTCTTGTTGCAAGATCATCTCTTACCTTGAGATAAATTGAATTTGTTGAGTTATCCTAAACTTGATACCAGAGTTAGGGCAGTAAGTAATGTTACAATTTAAATTGTTCTCAAGGTGTATACGTTGTGGCTTGATATAGGCTCTTTCGCCTTAGAAAATCGTTGCAGTTGAATTATTATATGTTCCAATTTGAACATTTTTATCTTAGAATTCACATTTTTGTATTTGTATTTCTGCAGTCCACAAAAGAAGACTTGGTTGTGGCGTATGTCCTGATGATGAAGAATTTCCACACCCAAGTACTGGATTTAATGCTGGCCATTTTCCATACGTCGGACCTGTGATGCTATAAGCTATATAATAGAATCATCATCCTATGTAGAAACTGAATTGTTTTAATCATTGGCTGTCAGATGCAGTATCTAAAGATGCTAATACGCTATATTAGAATCATCATCCTATGTAGAAACTGAATAGTTTTAATCATTGGCTGTCAGATGCAGTATCTAACAATCGATCATCACCAAATTTGAAGCTAAACATATGGAAGTGTTCAACTTTTTCGAAACAATGAGTTGGGGGAAAGAAATATTTTTGCTGTGGTGTTACAATTTTTTTTTTTTTTTCTATAATATTATAAAAATAAATAAAAGTAGTGTAAGTTTGGATACACTACATATCCACTTGGAATTACACGAAAGAGAAAGACCTAACATGCGAGACATGAGGGTTTTTGCTGTATGAGAATTTTGAGGTATTTGAAATTCTCTCCAGGAAAAGGGGTACTATCTCTAAAAATCTAAGAAAGGTACACATAGATGTGTATATTGATGCTGATTAGGCCGGAGCTCTTGATGATAGACGATCAACGGGTACTTCACATTTGTAGGTGGGAGTCTTGTCACGTGGAGAAGAAAAAAAACAAAATGTTGTTTCACGACCAAGTGCAGAGGTTTAATATAGAGGAGGAATGGCCTTAGGAATTTGTGAAGCACTGTGGTTGAAACTACTATTACAGGATCTCGGCTACTCCACAACGAAACCAATTCAATTATATTGTAACAATAAAACAGCTTGTGATATCGCTCACAACCCAGTACAACATGATCGTACAAAGCACATTGAGATAGATAGGTTCTTTATCAAAGAGAAATTGGACGAAAAAGTTATAGTACTTCCGAAGATTCAATCAGAAGACCAATTAGCAGATATCCTTACTAAAGCCGTGCCTCACCGAATATTTTCAAAGTTCTTAGGCAAATTGGGCATGACAGACATCTATGCACCAAGTTGAGGGGGAGTGTAGAGATATATGTTTATGTTTATTTGTAAAGATTATTAATTGTTTAATTAAAGATCTTATTTAGAGAGTAATATCAATTAAAGTGATTGTATCCATTATAGTGTTTTTTATAGGCTAGTTTTTAGGAGTTCATTGATTCTTATGTATCCTATTTATACCTTCTTATGTACTAAGCAGAATAATAATAAAAATATGACAAGTGAATTTTTTCTTGTTCCAAACATCATTTATCATACAAAAGCCAGCCAGATCTCTTACGCTAATCAGTTTGTTTCAACAAAGTCATGCCTAATCTCTATGTTAATTATTCGTGTAATTTATAACTCGATGGTTAAAAAAAAAAATAGAAAACATTCATAATATACTCGTCTCTTGAGGGCGTTATGTAGGTAGACTTCATACTGGACATCGATGGTGCTGTCATTGAGGTTAATAGGTTGATTGAGTTCCTTTATGGTACATATCCTAGCTTTATCCCAATTTTGGGCATTTTTTTTTTTTTTTTTTTTTTTGTGTGTGTGTGTGTGTGTGTATGTGTTATATGAAGGTTAATTTGTTAAAATTATTCTTCTAAATTTTTAGAGATGATTAAAACATGTACAATGAGCCAACATTAGATGAGATGTTTTTCACACTCATCCACTTGAGTTCTTAAAGTTACTTCAACAATTACCAAATATGAACATCTACACAACATAACATGCAACACCAAAAAGAGAACATTGTCAATGCTGAAACAAATTTAAATTAGCAAACAATGTGGCAACGAAAAGAATACTCTTAAGTGGTGAGATACTCAAGACTCATCTTCAATCTCATAAAAATATCAACACCATAGCTGCCACTCCTCATGACCTCACCGAACCATCATTGTCCCATAGCCATAACACTACATATTACAACTTAACTATATGTTCCATATTACACCGCTTGCCCGTGTGGGTTGCTTGATGCCCGGTTCGCATCAGACTCCTAATGTTGGATTCATATATATGAAGTAATTTCAATCTACTTTTATAAATGCTGGCAAATGTATACATGTGCACTCTTCGAGTAGGGCAAATATATGTATAAGATTAGACACATTTTAAGCAACAATTTTTTTGAGCCGATAAAAAAACAATCATTATCTCATAATTGTAGACTAAACTTGGGCCGACAATGAGTGCACACCCGAGAGAGCTCATTAGTTTATATNNNNTTATATTAATTATATCTCAATTCATGATAGATAAACTATTCAATTTAGAAGCATTCCTTTCTACTTCAACTATTAGGCCGTAAAACAAAAATTTTCAAATAAAGTTATATATAAGTTTGGCGAGTTGTAAAGTATTTTTGCACATTAATAGTATATAGATAGATAAAGGTAAGTCCCAAAATATAATATAAAAAAATGTCAAATTAGTAATTTAAAATTCTGACATCATATGCTTTTAGGACACAGAGGGACCAGTTCTACATATATGGTTGGAATTAGTACAATAAACATGCTGGCCAACTGTGACATGAATATTAAATTCAGTTAACAGAGTTAGATATCTACCAATAATCAAACAAAAGAAAAAGATAGAAGAAGAAGAAGAAATTTAGATCAAATTTGTGACAGATATATTGAAATGAATCTGGAATAGACTAAGCAAGAATAGGAACATAAGCATCCTCCACCACACGCTTGTCTACCATGCCTTTGCCGTGACGTCCCCATGCAACACCCATGTTGTTCCTATACACCCAATAGCTTATCTTGTTCTTCCACCCTTCTCCGATCACGGTTACGAATATCTTGTCGCCAACTTCAAGATTCGTCGACCCACTCGCCGTGTCTTCGATATCAGGGTTGTGATTTTTGTCGTTGACGTAAACATCAGTCTCATGATCGATCGAGAAATAGTTAGCGGAGATACGGAATCCAGAGACGAAAGGCCCATCAGACTCGAGATGTTTGAGTAATTGTTCGTTAACATTCTCAGCATCATTCTGAGGCTCAAGGCGAAGATGGCGTTGGATGGTAAATCTAGGCCACCCCTACAAATTACGTACGGAAACACACATTAATAGTTTTATAGTTTGAGGTTTGCACTAGAAAAGAAGAAAAAAAAAAAAACAAAAGAACAAAAATGAGAAGTACAATTAATTTTACCTCCAAGTAGTGATGAAAATCCTGCCTTCTTCCTTTTGTTGGGTAAATGCTCTCGAGAGTGAGTCCTCCAAAAGACATCCAATCCAGAACGTCCCAAACCTCGCCACCCATCCTCACAGCATCCACAATGTATTGCACTGATAGCTTTGGGACTATTTTGGGCGGCTGGTCTTGAGCCATCTTGATTCGATAACGAGATTCCACACAGATAGTGCAGGCATAGTGGGCCCACAAGCCTGGGAATAAATACGAATTTTTGTTAATCAATAAAACAAGCTAGAAAGGATAAATTATAATTTTAAGTAATGATAAACCACTCAGTTAAAGAAAAAATGTTTTGCAAAAACCAAACTTTTGGTTTCAGAGTAAATGCAACAAATAAAAATTATATGTTGATTTTCCATACGCTAAATTGCTTGATAGTCTAACTTAGTTTATGTTTATGTTTTAAACAACATAATCACATGATATATATCATCTCTTCAAGCAAAAAAGAAAATTAAAGAAAGAAGAAAGAAGAAGAAAACATAATGTAAGCTTAAAAAAAATCCCTTAAAATTGGGTTATCTCGAACCTCGAAACCCAAAAACCCGAGTGACACCACAAATACGAATTAAGAAGTATTGGTGGTTTGGTTAATCGTACAACAGGACCAAAACCAAGATTTCCTTTTTCTGCATGCATTGTGCGTGTTTCTAGCAAAGGTGTAAATGTGGTTTAGTTTTTCAGTTTGAGAACTTTTAGAATATCGGTTTTTCAGGTTCCATTTTTGTTGTTAAGCTTCATTCACCTATAGAGCCCAAAACCAATCTTTTTTCTTTTTTCCTTTTTTCAAATAAAAAATATTATGTTTAAAACAAAAAACCCAACTTTTAGTTTTGTTGGGACACTAAATATTTCATTTTGGTTTCAGAATTAATGCAACAAAAGAAAAATGATTTTCAATACATAAATATTAAAGAAAAAACTGATTTTTCATACCTAAATTAATTGCATGATAGTCCCGACTTAGTTTGCCTTGTGTATATTTATGTTTTTCTCAATAATATATCTTCTTATTGTTCTCTTTAAGCTCAATATCTATATTACTAATTTGCATATTTAAATAGAAACAACATAATCACATAGATTATATCATATCTTCATGCAACAGAAAAAGAAAAAGTAAGAAAATAAACATTCGCAATTTCCATATAACAGCAAACAAAAATAACCCAACAAGAATACCAGACTATGTACATATATATTATAATTTCATGAATGTGCTTGCAAGAGAGAGCAAAAGATCCATACCATTTTCTTTTGGCCCGGGCTCAGCTTCACGCACAAGCCTTATCCCGTTTATCATCCTCCCAGGCTCGTCATAGGACCATTCGAAATCCATCATTCTTATCCTTGGCAATGGCTGAAGATCAATTTCCAAGAGTAAAAGTGAATGGCAGGAAACAGAAAGAGAAAGAGTATGTTTGTATGAAAGACCAAAAGAGATCATGGAAAACTCATGAAAACAGGACGTACTATCAACTGAGAGTGATAAATATTTATCTATACTACCCTAGAATGATTAGTGTTTTTACTCCATAATGAAGAGTATTTTAGTAAAAGAAAAAAGAAAAAAATGAATTACCTAAAATATTCTTACATTAATATATACTAGTATTTGATCATGTGCATTTTTGCACATATATAAATAAAATATTATAAGTTCTTTATATGTATATAATATTAAAATTATATGTTAGATAATGATATTAAATTTTAATCGTAAAGTATTATAAGTTATATTTATGCACATAATATTAAAATTTTTAAATATATTACATGACTACTTTCGAGGAGGGTTTCTTTCATGGAATTTTGATTTTTCAAAGTATTTGATGTATCTTAATTCGATTTTTTTTTTTTTTATATTATTGTATGAATGCAATTTAAAATAGAGATATTTGTAGTCATACTTAATTAGTTGTGAAAAATGTTTTTATATAACACTAAAATATATATAGTATCAAAATAAAAAAAAAATATTTTGTCCGAAGCCAAGTGAAGTTCAGTCATAGAAGAGCCTAATCTGATTTCCAGTAAGCTATATCTAGCAGCTAAACAATTTCAGGACATAAAAAGGCGTTACAAAAATGAGCACCAGTGTAACTGAAAGTTATATATTTTTATTAAATGGTGAAAATATTTTTATTAAATGAACACCTATTTTTATTAAATTAGCTACTATTATTATTACTTACTGGCTGAAAAAAATTAATTGAAAATTG